GAGGTGCTTGGGTAGGTCTCGGGAAGGATTTAGCAAAGTTCTCCAGAAGATTTCAATGGAAAGTTGCTTAATTCTTTGGATTTAAAGTTATTTGACTCCTGGCTGGCATCCAGCATTTGGTATTTCTCTTGCTCTTCCTGGAATAATTTCTCTCACTCTGGGGTTTGTGTAAAAATGTTTCTTTGAGTACAGAAACTAATGATCAAGACTCACCATCTGTGACCCCTTAGTAGGCATCTGGATGTACATTTTCCACTTCTGAGGTGTTGAGATAACGCAGCACTTTTACTGTTGGGACTAGGAGGCATATCATCAGATACAATAATACTTTCCAGCTGCAGATGTCGTTTTTTAGTCTTTCCTAAATGAAAATCAGTTTTGCAGGTGGCTAATGCTAGAGGATGATTTGTTTCCATGCTCGTTTGAAGCCTTGTAGCAAACTCAAGGCTGTGAATAGGAGATGGAAATGAAAGTAGAACGTGATTTTGGAAAAAACTCCATTTTCTGTGCTGGTAAAGCAACTAAGCTGTGTGGCTGCTGATGCAAACCTTTCATCTGCCCAAGTAAAAGGGTTATTATCTTCAGTTGAAGCTGATCAGGTGTTAAGTGGCATTTGAGCAGCGCATCCAGGCAGCTATTTGCATGAGAAATATGCCGTGAAGATGAGACTTTGATGTATTTGCAACTTCTGAATTCCCATTATGGTTTTGATTATGCTGCCTGTTGGGAGAGCCTGGGACACCTTTCTCTTGGCCGAGCTAGAATCCAAGAAGGGAATTTCATGCTCTGCTTCTCCACGTTATGTCTTCCATTCTGAGATAACTTTTCCGCTCCTCTCTGAAGAGAAGCCTGGAAAAACGTGTTAATGACAGCAAGTCAGAGGCCATCAGCCTTGCCTTGGCTGTTTTGGTTGGAAGGGACCTCTGCAGAGCTCTCGTCCCTTGTAGTGGGACCATCACTGGACCAGAACAACGCTGACTCTGCCATCCTGAGTCCTAAAGACCTCCTGGGATACTCTCTGGGTAACCCCCTCCAGTGCCGTGCTGCACTGGGCTCGCTTCTCACGATGGGAGATTTCAAGAAACGTCTTCTTTTCCTACTGGAGAAAGTGATTTTCTTAAACAAGTTGGGCTGATCTGGATCAATGTAGCTGGAGCTTCTGACCTGAGACCTGGAGGTTACGTGGGGGACCATCACCCACCCAGACATTCGGCCGCTGGGATGCTCCGTTTGAGCTCCTGATCCCTGGGCTTCAGCATGCCCACTGCCTGGTGTTGCCACCCCACCGTCCCCTGGGAGAAAGTCTTGAAGATGGCAACGTGTCTTAAGAAAGGCAAGCAGAGCAGAAAAAAAAGCTTTTAAGTGCTTTGAACCAATGGCAAAGCAATAGAAAGTCAGTATAGGGGCAACTCTGATGAAAGCCCATCAGCTGATTAATCTGCCATCAGGGGCGTGGCAAGGCAGAGATGTGACTTTCCCGGGTTTCTCCTTCAGATCATCAAACCTTGTAGCACTCATCAAAGTGCATTTTAGTGTTGGGTGGGTTTTTTGGGGGGAGAAACGCA